TTATATATAGGGATTTATTATTATTGTTAGTTATTAGCAATTTATTGATTGAAAATCAAGGTAGAAAAATGGTTTGCGTCCATTATAGTTTATTCTGATGAAGTACAAATTGCAGAATTTAAAATGTTTCAGATTCGAATGAAAGCGTAAATGTAAAAATATCACGAATGCTACAAGAAATTATTACATTTTTGCGAGGTCCCGCAGTGGACTGATCGTTAAGACACGGTTCCCAGCAGATCACCGAAGTCAAGCATCACTGGCTGCGGTCAGTGTGCGGGTGGGTGACCACTTGGATCAGTCTGCGTAGGGATCGAGGGTGTGCGGTATTGGTCCTCGTTAAACTGTGCTACCGTAAAGTGCTCGACTTCGCGCGCAGGTCGTCGGGCTACCGAAGCGGGGGTGCCATCCCCTCCGCAGAGGATCAAAATTGTGATGGCATGTCTTCGGATCATCCTCCGGGGTGTTTCCCAGACCGTCGCCAATAGCCCATTGTACAGCTCTAGTGCGACGTAAATTAATAACAACAATAACAACAACTACATTTTTGCGAGTAGTATTTGTTTACCCAAACATATAAAAACAAAATTTATGATTGTTAATGTTAGAAAAAAAAACATAAAATTTGAAAATTGTAATCCCAATTTTCAAATATTATGTTTTTTTTACAAGAGCCATACGAGAACCTTTTTTCCATAAAAATTCCTCCTCAATCCATGCTCCCGCAACAGTATTCCCACTGTCTTCTTCACTGTAATCTTATCTATTCTTGTCTGCGCGTGGACAGCTGCTTTTTTTTAGTGTGTCTTTACTTTGTAATCCTGTCAGGGATAACGGATTTTCAAAAAGCAAAAAATATGCAAAAAATATCCTCAAAAGCAAAAAATATGCAATCCAATCTTCATATTTGTGAAAAATGGACATAAATTGTTCTTCCCATTGATCTTCAATTATTAAGTGATTTAAAGAAAATATGTATAACAATATAGTATAAATCCAAATGCTTCAACATATATTTTTGGTTTTATCCGATAAAAAGGTATAATTTCAGATTTAATATTTGATTTTACTTTATAATTTAAATTTTATAACTATAGTTTATAATAAGAGTTCAACTTACTGAAAGAATTACTATAATATGACGCTGTAATTTTACACTAATTTTAATGACAAATTACGTTACCTACCTTAGTAACAAATTGGAATATGATGGTGTGGAAATTTAGTGGAATGTAATGTTTCATTATCTTTATTGAAGATTATTTACTTTGCATTATCTCATTTTATATAATCTTACTTGAACCAATATTCTGATCATGAAGTACAATGTTATATTGTCATTTAATTTCAGAATAAGGACTTAAATAATCTGTCCAATGTAACTTTCATACATTCCACAAATACACAAACAGATTACGTCAAGAATTTCATTATTTTCCTAGTTCAAAAGTCAAACACTGTTCAGCCAACAGCAGTACTGAGCATTTTGGAAAAGATTCTTAAAAAATTTAAAAAAATAACTTTTAACTAAAATTTTGAACAAATAATAACCAATTATTTTAAATAAATAACATAGATTCAAATTGTAATTAGAACTTATTTCACTACTCTTAATGCATTCGTTAGTCTAAATAAGTTATTTGCGAGCAATAAGTTTGCTGAGGGTAACAAGGTGTTCTTCTTAAACTTAACGCACGAACAAATAAAAGAAATTCTTAATGTATCATACCAAAAACAATAACCAAAGTCATTTTCACGGTTTTGATCTTTGCCCTGGGTATTATTCCCCTTGAGCTGGATCTTTTCCTGTCTGCTTCATTATCCGAGCTGCAAGTACTCTTACTTTTACTCACACAACCTACATAATATAGAGAAAAAAAATGTCAAGCTTGTTAACCCTTTGCTTAAGGCTGGTACAATAAGTGGACCTGAATGATTTCATCATGCTAAGCGCCATAAGCAAAAGGCTAAGACAAAAACCGAAAATCACATATTTATATTTTATATTAGAATAAATTGCACTGATATAAAAGCATCATTCCTTGAAAATATAACACAATTTATGAATCAAGTATAAGGAATTTTACATGTTACCAACAGTTTCTTAAACACTGATATTTAATAAAATACCTAAGTGTCTTATAGAACGCTGGGCATTTTCAGACAAGTTATTAATTAGGACACTAATTATGCTCTTTAGGTATTGCATTTTGTTTAATTACAGGTGCTTTTTAAGAATGATATTAAAAAAGGTCACGGTATAGCTATTAGTTGAAGACCTTGATTCCCCCGTAAATGTAAATAACATTCCGGAAAAGTAATGAAAAACTCTCCCATAAAGAAGATTTATTTTCTATATTACCAGCAGTGTATTCAATGTGAAGATTTTAAGAAATATCGTGATATTGTCTAAATGTATTCTGTTCAATAATGGTGTGCTATTTAGCCTTCTATAGAGTAACTATACAATGTGCAAAATATTGAAATGTTTCATACTTTTCCGGATATCTTTAGAAATTCTATAAGAGGTCTAGGTATACTAAGTAATACATTTTGTTGACAAAAAATACATTTTGAATACTTAATACATTTGCATTGCTTAGTATATTATTGAATAAACTTTAACGTGTAGAAACCCTTTTACAAGAGATAATACGATCCCTTTTTCCTTTTGTACTATGCAGTTAACAAGTAAATCAGCAGATTACTGGAAACGTGATATTTTTTTAATATAATACTTCTCACATTTCTCCAATGTTAGATGTTAAGTGCAAATGTTTATATTTCATTCACTGTAACAAAATTTGGTGAATAGTTGTTGCCTTTTTTGTTGTTGAGGTAAAAAAATTTTTTACAGTGCATGTAGTGGCATTTTTATTATTTTTTTCACTGCTATAACTTTGTTTATTTATGTATTCATTTTTTGTTTCCTGACAACACATATTTTCACGAGCATTAAAATCAATTAAAATCAATTTTTCACTGCTTTAACTTTATTTATTTATCTATTCACTTTTTGTTTCCTGACAACACATATTTTCGCGAGCATTAAAATCAATTGAATAGCTTCATTTCGAAAACTTTTCGGTTAAGAAACAAGCACAATTTTATTAGAATATTCGCACAAATTATTTCAAACAATTGCTATTTTGCGAATTTTGAGTATCTTTTATGCACGATATCTGCAGTTCTAGAATTCCGACTAGTTTCGACAACTTTTTTTAAAATACTAATACAAAATTTAAAAAAATAGTTTATATGTTTTATTATGTTTAAACACCTATAAGACTAGCAAAAAATTATTATTTATCAATTTATTTTTTAATACCCATTTTTAGGTAAGAATTAGGCAGTGTTTTGCATACACACTAAACACTGTATTAAAAGTCTATAGCAATAAAACTTGAATAAAAATGAAACTATACTTAGATATCGTGTTTAAGGTAGTGTAAAATGCGAAAAAAAAAACTAATTTTGAAACTAACGCATTTAAAGATTTAAAATCACTAGTCCATCCACTGATGCCACCTTGTGCAAAAACTGCTATAACTTAGTAAAGAATTAAAGTGCAAGCAAAAATAAAATATTTTTAGAACGCTACAACTACAGGGATACTAAATTTATAAGAAAACCAATTTCGAAAATTTTATCCAAATTCATGTTATTGCACTAGATACCTTAAAAAAGTGTTTAGTTTACCTCGACACAAAAACAAAATTTGTCAAATATACACCAAATTTTTTTACAGTTTATTAAGCTTCTGAAATAGTATTTTAATGTGTCTTTTAAATTCTCTTGAATGATCATATTACTAAGCAGAGTTTTGGTATTTGAAGTAAGCTTATAAGTGCTGAAAACAGCATTGTAATAAATGATAAGTTTAAATTGAATGAGTACATACTGCGTGCCTTTTATCAATGTTTGAAAAATATTATAGAAAGGTAAATTCTACTGTAAATAGTTCTTCGTAATATATTTGTTATTTTACAGTAGCAACATGTAAAATAAATTTAAAAAACTTCGCTATCATCGCTGCACTTAAGAGAATGATCACAGTAAAAGTTCAATGTTTGTTATGCAAGTGAATATATATATATTATAATAAAATATGTTTGCATCAGTTCACGAAAATATTTGAAAGGGTATAAAGAGCAGGCATAAAAGTTGTTATAGTAAGTTATGTCATTTTATAGCAATTGCATATAAGCAGAAGGAATAAACAGAAAAGAGCACAATTTTAGAGGCTGTGTTTTATAGTATGAAGACAATAACATATTATGTTAAATAGTGGCTAAAACTATGCAAAGAATATTTTACTATCCCAACTTATACCTATTAAAATATCAGATTATTATGAAAAAAAATACAGTTCATTTTAATCATTGCTTTTAATTCGTTTAATTATGTTCAAATAAAACAATTTTCATAAATAATCTCTTTTACAATTTTGAAAATTTCAAATATTTCTCGTTTAAATAGGTAGTCATGCGAAATTAGCAAGACTAGAGTTCGCCCCTTTTGTGATAAGAATAGCGTCTGCATTTTGTTGAAAGCAATCATAAAAATTCCTGATGTTTATATTTACATGCAAATTTGCTGGAGATAAATATTAATGGCTTGAATCTCCCCATTCTTTACTTTAAATTGCTCAATAATAAGGCAATAAAGTCTTCAAATTCATAACAAGTGAATCTAATAAAAGAGAAAAATCAATGGCTTCGCTTTCAAATATGTATTTTAAACATGTAATTATAAGTTTTCGATTCTTTCGATATAAATTTATTGTTGCCTCGGGAATGATGAACACACGAAATTAAATTTATTTATTCAACTATTGAGAACTAGTTTGAGAATTAATAATATAATTAAGAGTTTCGTTTCGCGTTTTTAAGATATTATTTCCAAAAATTGCATACGCAAGAAAATTAGATTATTTTGATTTAAAAATCACTGGAAGCAATGAGATTTTTTTTATCAGAGAAACATAATATTAAATTGAATTTTATTAATTGAAAAAATACTAAAATGATTGCGAACTATTTTTTTTTCCTTTTCCAAATTGAAAAGTTATGCAATAATATGGAATACAATACAGTAATGAAAGAGGAACTTTCAGTTTTTGATGTTTTTCTGAATATCTCAAAAAATACTTCGAATGTTATTTTGTAACTTTAAAGGTCTTTAGTTCTTTAGTCTTTAGCTTAGAGATTTCTCATATTTAGCTGTAAGGTTCTAAGCTTTCAAAGGTTTAAGAAAACGACAATAAATTACGAATTAGAAAAAGTACTTTTCAACAGCCTATGCTATAAAATCAAGCAATAAGCTTGTGACTTACATCGATTACTTTGATTTTTATCTTCAATAACTGCATTAAATTTTGTAAACTTCATTTAAATATTTACGGAGATATGAACTTTTTTATTAAAAAAAAAAACAAATTTTCTTTTCTTATGTTATATAACTTTAAAATTACTCAAATTAAATAATTTTTGGAGCAATTTAAAATTAATTACAGCTATATTATTTTGAAATTTGAAAAAAAAATTTAAAAACTACTCAAGATATAGGTATTTAAAGTAGTTCTTTCAAACTGCGCATGTGTGAAAAATAGTAATTTTTTTTTCTTAATTTTGTACTGAATAATATTGGCAACTAATGAAAAAATCTGGTTTAAATACCTTAAAAATTTAAAAAGTTCCAATTCATTTCCTAAGTAGTTTTTGTACTTTTAAAAGAAATCTTAAAATGATAAGGGGATTGGGAATTTATTTATAGACTATCTCCACCTATATCATCAATCAACAATCTATCGAAAGGTACCTCAAGATAGAATCGAGTTAACATGTCTTATATACTAGTGATTTGGTATTTAATATTTGTTGTGGTAGTTACGACACAGGGGCTTTCTACAATAAAATTTTTTTTGCTATCCAGTTATTATAAGATAATGTAACTTTAAACTCTTTCCATTAGTTGTCAAATGAGATTCACAACAAATTTACGATTCATACAAATTAATTATTTATGTCCATGCAAAATCGCATGAACTAAACATCTCCAAAGTTACAGAATTATTTTATCATTTCAGTATTTGTTGAGAAATTTAAAAAAGAAGTATCGAAACCTGAAAGTGCATATTGTAGGATAATGTATATGCTATGAACTTAAAAACAAAAATTATTGCAGTTAATACGTGAAATGATTGCTGCACTACAACGACCGACATTTTGCAGGAATACATGTTCTTTAATAAAGAAAAATAATAGCAATAGTATTTCGCAGTATTTTTTTATTATGATATACAGTTAAAACATTAAAAAAAATATTATTATTTCAAAACTTCTAGAGATTATTTTGCATTATGCATTATTGGTGCCAAAATTCAGCATTCCAAACATTGTATCATGTATACGATATTTCCATTAATTTATTTAAGTTCACTTTTGCAAATTTAGCTTTTAAATAAAGAAAATTAAAATTAATTACAAGAGCACAGTTAGATAAGTATAATTAAGCACATATTTTATTGATAGCTATGAGGGAAGTTGATACTTTTTATAAAATCTAAAGCTTTTATCGAGTAACCAGCATTTTTTAAGCATATATAAATTGCAGAATAAGTGTATATTGAACACACTAACACGCAGAGTCCCGCCAAAGTAAGAAAATCGATCAAATAGTAGTTCTAAGTAATTTTAATCTGTAATCTACATTCTAAAAGTTGTAATGGTTTTTTTACAAACAATATTCATTCATTTTTTTATTCCCTTACAAATACTTAAGTTGTTTTTAGATTTATTTGAGGTTATTTCACTGTGTCAAGGTTGATTTGAGGTGTATTTGAAGTTGAATTCAAAACGAAACTACTCAAAAGATCAACCTGACAAGATGCTTAATCAAGGTGCATATTTTAATAACACCTTACAATTATTCACATTTGAGGTTGATTGAAATCTACTTCAGAGCAACCAGCTTAGAGAAGTTGTTTTAGAGGTACGTGTTATTTTATCTATCCTCCAAGCAAATTATATCTGAGGTGCGAATAATTTTACCCGATTTTCAACTAAAAGTATTGCTGATTTATTTATGAGGTTGGTTTTGTGAGATGAAAATAAGGCTTAAATTGAGATTCATAAATGAAGTTATTTTTGGTACGAAACATAACCTCATTTTCTACTTCAAGTGTATTTTTTTACGTCCATAAAACTTTAAACAACCACCATTACACGTTATTTCCTTTCCTGTAAGGGTTTCTAATAGCAATACTGCTACCCTGCAGCTGCTCTTCATTTGATACAATTAGTTTTTTAATTATACCATTGTAAATTAAGCTAATACCTAAACAAAAGAAAGTTAATTCCATCAGTAGAAAGGGATATTCAATGTCATACGTACTTTTCTTGCTATCAGCTACAATGGATGAAGATTTTGACAGCTTAGGATAACTCATCAATCTACTTTTTGTCCAAATGGTGTGTACAATGACAGTATAACACGCAGCTATTATCAGTGCTGGTATAAAAAAGAGACTGATAGCTACAAGACTGATGTATAATTGCCATTGCCATTGCTGGAGATCTATCCAGCATTGTGGCATGCCTTTCACTTCTTCTTTGGAGCTCAGGAAAATAGATGGGATGGAGAAGATGGCTGATAGACCCCACGCCGAAGCAACTAATAATCTTGCTTTCCTCCCTAAAGGCAAACAGAAAAAATACAAAACTAGAAATATCAAGATCACAAAACAAAAGTATGCGGGAATTTTTTATAGCCCTCTATGTTACACGTAAATAAAATTGGCCGTAAGTTGCCAGAGGTTTCTTTTTTCTATCTGACAACTTAAGGCTATTATTTGGGCAATGTGAGAATGCAAAGTGTGTCAGAAATGCGTTATTTATTCTTTAATATTTTTCAATTACAGTGTTTTTAATTCTTCAGATTTGTGTAAAATCAAATGTATTTTTTAATCTACATTTTCATGTTATTCATTCACTGATCATCAACATTTTTAATGACCAGTGAAAACCTCATAGTTTTAAGCAAATAAAATATTGCGTCACTGTATCACCAAACGTATCACCACCTGTATCTGTCATGCGTTAGGATCTTTATTTCATGCAATGGACGTTATTTCATATAAATTGCCATGTACATGATGTGTAACGGCCTTATTTAATGGCTATAATATCTAATGATATTACCCAGTATATAAGACAATAATAAGATAGTTGTCTTGTGATATTAAACACAAACATCGCTGTTTCTAACCAAAGGCATTCTCCAATACTGATGGTTTATATTGTGGCAAGACGTATTTTCAAGTGGATAATGCGTCCTGCCATACTACATGTATTTTTAAAATATGATGCTTGCGTTTTAGGAAACATAATAGAAATTTCATTTTGTTGCTCGTAATTCCAATATATGCATTTCTCTGATAAAATTGTAAGAACTTCCCGTCATCTAAATTCATATGAAACAGTCTCGGAGTATTACTAAAGCTAAGAATTTGCTGTTTTATATGCCCATGTACATTGACATCTCGTAGAATGTCATACATGTACATTGACATCCCAAGAATTATCAAAGTTGCATTACAAGAAAAATGTGACCAAACGGTATTGAGCGATACTAAAGTGATTGGCCAATTAGTGTATAATATCAATGCATCTATTTATGACATACTTACAGCTGTTTGAGAAGTTCATTGGATGAGCAATGGCATCGTAACGATCTACACTTAGAGCTACCAGGACATAAGTCGACGAGTACGTTACAAAAGCCTAAAAATATTAAAATTTATTTCAGCCTTAAATGTTTTCAACTTAAATTAAAGGTATAAATTAAAGATATAAATTAAAGGTATAAATTAAAGATATAAATTAAAGGTATAAAGGGAAAGAAAAAGTGTTTTTATACTATATAACACACGAATCAAAAATAATTTTTATTTTCTAAAGGTGAGACTCTTGATTTTTCTTTTATCAACAAATTTATTTTGATTTACATGCGATAAAACCATTTGACCATTTGGTAATACAGTGCATAAGGCACATTTCTAAACTTCCTGCAGCCGGCAACTGCATCAAAATAATCCACTTAATGGGTCCCTTCATACCTACATCACGATCCATTTATTAAGCATCTACATAACAGCATCTTAAAAATCCATGTTTAGTGTTTCATCATTATGATTGAAAACAAATCTTTTAGTTGACTTTCAAATCGTAAATAAGAACGATAGATAATACTTATGCTTTTGTATAGTAACGTAACGTCAAACATAACGCTAGAAAATGCTAGTTCAGTAAAAATGCTGATTCTACAATTTTGTTTCACATAATTTTAAATTTCAAATGATGTATGTAAAAAACTACACATCAGTACTAAACTTTGAATATAATAAATCCTGAAATTGCGAATTTTGAATTGATTTAAATTAAATTAACTTAATTTTATTATGATAAAATAAATTAGTTGGTTTATATTTTAAAATATAAATTAGAATTAAATAATCGATAAAAAATTTTTGATATAATTAAACTATTTAAATCGAACATGAGAGAAATTTCTATATAAAAATGAATAACAGTAATTAAAATATGGATTTGTATTCTAAATAATATTTTATTTATTAATATATATATATATATATATATATATAAATATTGTTAGNTTATATATATATATATATATATATATATATATATATAAACAAGAAAACACAATGAAAGTTAAGAAAAACAATAAGTTTCATTTATTGCGCTTAAGCTGCTAGTAAACAGAACTCATTAGATAAGTTCAAAATGAAGAATAAAACAAAGAAAAATAAAAGACATATGGAAAAAAAAGGGGGGGAAATAAGTAAAAACAAACAAACAACAGTTTAAAAAGAAAAAGAAAAAAAAGGATGACATTTTATTTAAAAAACCGGAAAAAAAACGGAAAAAGAAAGATATAATCTTTTCTTCAGCCCACACGATTATATCCGCAAAACAGAGTGCTTTCTGATATTGTATCAATAAAGCCAAAGCAAAATATATTAATACAATAGTGTGAGGAGCACTCAAAAATGTTTTTATATAAACATAACAACAAATAAAATAGATCACAAAAAGTAAAAATAACATGTAAGAGCAGAAAATAAAATAAAAGAAAAAGAAAAAACATTAAAAAGGGACTATAAAGCGAGTAGCAAAATCAGATCAACTTACATGGACAGAAAAGTTTTCAAGAATGATTTAAAAATGTTTTCGCAGAAAGATTGCCAGATTACAAAATATGGAAACAAATGATGAAAACAAAAGCGCAAATTGAGTGCAACATGAGGGTTTTAAAGTGTCGTTCTTACTGTACTGCTGAAGTGATTTATGATTTGTGATTCTGCGAAAACATTTTTAAATCATTTTTGAAAAATTTTCTGTCCATGTAAGTTGATCTGATTTTGCTACTCGCTTTATAGCCCCTTTTTAATGTTTTCTCTTTTTCTTTTATTTTATTTTCTGTTTTTGCATGTTATTTTTACTTATTTTTACTTTTTGTGATCTATTTTATTTGTTGTTATTTTAATATAAAAAAATTTTTTGAGTGCTCATCACACTATTGTATTAATATATTTTGCTTTGGCTTCATTGATACAATATCAGAAATCACTCTGTTTTGCGGATATAATCGTGTGAGCTGAAGAAAAGATTATATCTTTCCTTTTCCGGTTTCTTAAATAAAATTTCATCCTTTCTTTTTTTCTTTTTCCTTTTAAACTGATGTTTGTTATTTTTTTACTTATTTTTCCCCCTTTTTTTCATATGTCTTTTATTTTCTTTGTTTTATTCTTCATTTTGAACTTTTATATATATATATATATATACCCTTTTTTACAATTAAATATAATGAAAATAATTTTTAAAAGAAATATATTTAAAAAGAAAACAAATAATTGCTTTTTTTCTTCTTAGAATCTGTCATAGAATATTGAACATGAAGAACATTTCTCTCGTAAAATAAAATAAAAAGTTTACAAACCTGTAAATATTTAATGACTTTGCACGCAACATTATTAGCATAAAACGCTACAGTTGTCCTCCAAATAATATCTGTCAAAACGTTAATGACACCAACTGTTAAATCTGTAAAGTAAATAAAAATCAGTGGACTTTAAATTTTTCTTATCAAATATAAATATATTTTTTTAAATACAGAACTAACCATTTAAAGCTGTTAACTAAGATGATTTCATCAGATTACTTTTTACGGGTTGATTAATTTTGCTTGTTTTAAACAATTCATAGAATACAAGAATTTTCAGTAGATTTAAAATATCAAATATGCTAGCTTTTTAAATTAGATTAGATCAAGTCAGAAAAGAAAACTATTGATAATGTAGTTTTTTATCTTACGTTGGCTTTTGTATTGTACCATATTAGATACTTATTTAAAATAATTTGAGAGAAAGTTCTTCTCTAACCTAAATTTTTCATTCTGTTCTTCAGAAGAATTCCTTATTTGAGAATTAGGTCATTGCAAAGTTAAAAATATTTTTCTTAGATTTCATCGTATTCAAAATTTAAATTCCATCTGATATATAAAAAAAAAATATGAATATATGATATTGCTAAAATATATCTTGATAAACTTCACAGAATACTCAACATTTGCATGGGAAATGTAAATTATGGTTGCATTGAAAAAAATAAAAATCTGTCTTTAAAATGAGTACCGCAGTGGACTGATCCAGCATCACTGGCTTCTGTCAGTAAGCGGGTGGGTGACCACTTTGATCAGCCCTCGTTATATTGATTTACCGTATATTGCTTGACTTTGTGAGCAGGTCGTCAGGCTGCCAAAGAGAAGGATTATTGATCCGCTGCAGAGGATCAAAATTGTGATGGCATGCAGTCGGTTCATCCTCAGAGATGTTTTCCAGAGCCTCTCTGATAGTCCACGAGAGCCGGAGTGGCTCAGAGGATAGAGCTTTCACTTTCCCATGGGGTGAACCGGGTTCGAATCCCAGCGATGGCTGGTTAATATGAATTCCACACCCAGCTCGCGCCGACCACAGCTCTGACATAAAATATCCTCAGTGGTTGACGAATCATGATTTAGAGTCCCCTTGCTGTTAGGCTAACCACGGGAAGTTCGCGTGGTCTTTCTGGCCATGTAACTCAAATGTGGGTGAGTTCCCTCAAAAAGTCCTCCACGAAGGCAAATTTCTTCCAAAACTTGATCCAGGGGTTCCCTTGTCTTCTGGATTGGGTTAAAAATTACAACGCTACGGAGTTGAACATTTGTAGTTGTATACCCAAATTTGGGTCGGCTGTTCAATGGCGGTCATAAAATAAAAATTATAAAAAGATAGTCCATTGAGCAACTCTAGTGCGACTTAAATAAAGTACCTACCTACCTGTTATTGAAACGAAAAAACTATTATTTTATTCTTCTATTTTTAGTGCTAAAAATTGCTTCTTTTAATCGAATAAAGTATCATAGGAACTTGAATAACAGAAAATCATTTAATTCCAAATAAGCAAAAATGCATCAAATGAATTTTCACTAATTTTTATTTAAAGCTTTGACATTATTCAACGAAAATTTTAGAGAAAAAGTATTAGTTGTAGCCTTTTATAAGTGAAAATAAGCGAAATTCCATTTTTAGTATTTTTTAGAATGAATACACTTCATTGCTTTATGAGTTATTCTTTTTTTCATTACACATCCTTTTTTTACTTCTATTATTTTTCATTGAACTTATATTTATTTTCAGCCTAATACATTTCAATCAATATTCAATTTACTTCATTTTAATTACTTTCCTTAATTTACTCGGTTTTTACATTTAAATTGTTTTTCATTAATAAATTTTAAAAATGGAAAATTCATCACTGATAAATTAGTTGCACTCAATTGAAACATTTTCTAATCATGGTGAACAAATGAGAGAAATAATTTTACAGATAAAAGAACATTGTTAACGTTCGTAATTAAAAAGGAGTAAAATGTACTCATTTTTATAAAGTAGAATAAAAATGAGTTAATTCTTAATGCAAAATGTCTTTTTTTTTTAATTTTCCGTTTAATATTAAATTCATCATCCTTTCCGGGATAATAATCAAATAATCATTTCAAAAATAACAAAAAATTCGAAAGATAAATTACAGAATTAATCCCTAGCTTTCAGAAAGCTTAAAACAGCTTATTTAATAGGATACATTTTCTGTACAAAAATATCACGAGGGAATATGTAGAAATAAAATTAAAAATTTAATAACTCAAAAATATAAATTAACTGGTTTTTATCTTTATAATAAATACTTGTGCCGTCATTTGTCAAAGTACAACTAATACTAAGGGATTACAAGAAAAAAATATACTTTAATTCCGAACGAAATATTTTGCTTAATCGTAGAAATGGTTTTGCTAATCCTGAAATAATATGCTTTTTTAATAAGATAAGAGCTCGCAATTTTGACGGATAATAACGAAATTAAATATGTTCATAAATTCGCAATTTTAATTAATAGTTTATCTTAATCATTTAAATAAATTGTCGGATTAATTCATTATATATCTATACATTTTATGACAAACAAGGAATACACATCTTATGTCACCCTGTACTTATTTCTGATATCAGTCCCGTTTATTGCCCACTACATTTTTACTAAACGTGTAAATTAGGGAAAATTTGCTCATACGTGTAAATTGAGATGAAATAAATTATATAAGCGTGACATGTTTATGAAACTTAAATTTTAAAAAAAACTTTTTATTTTGTACTAAGAAATGCTTACAAATTGGGATATATACATCAAAATTAGGCGGAAAAAAGCACATTAAAAAGTATGGAAATCCAATGAACTAATTTATGAAGTCCACTGCTAATGCTAACTAGCAAAAGACATTCATTGCATTTTACCGTTCGTTGCTAATTCTAAGAGACGATTTGTGATTCAAAGAACTGGCATAAATATTTTTTTAAAGATATAGTAATAAAATTAAATATAATTTTTCAAAATATTTGTATTTGCTTTTATGACTAAAAAATTGTATAATAAGTTCCTTTTGTATAAAAATTTATATCATATGTAGTAATGTCCATAAAATTACAAGTTATCTACACATTTTAAAATTTAAGGAACATGTATTTAAGAATATATATTTAAGATAATAATGCATATAATTGTTTGTGTTTTTATTATTAATAAAATTATGAATGATGGATCTGTACAAACGATGCCATGACTGACTTAAGTGACTATGCAGATATTTCCAAATTACTTGAATAAATTTCGTGTTACTTTCAATTTTAATTGTATTGATTTTAAATCAGAAATATTTTATCAGATTTACTCTGCTCTCTAAAATATTTAAAAATAAGTTTTTAAATTTATGCATTTTTCTTGTCTTTCGCAAGGAAACATGAACTACTGTAGCAATATTCTGATCAAAAATCAAATCCGATACTTTAATGCAAGGTTTAGAATGGAGCGATGAAGAAAATGAGTATTTGAAAATAACTTCGAACAAACTTTGAATCATTTCCACAACTAAAATAACTTAAAAAGCATAAGAAAGAAAAATGTAAAAGCTTTACTTAAATGAAAACTTTCTTTAAGCTCAATTCTTTTTTAAGACCTTTCAAAAACTGCCTCAGATTAAAGAAAATACACACTTATTTCTGTTTCTGTTCAGTACAAAGCACGCGTTCTCTACTGGGAGTCTGCTGTATTTTAAATCATATTTTTCAAGTCTTATCGAACGGGAGAAATAACTTGAGATTTCAATTCAAATGAATTGAAATATATATTTATGTTTCAATTCATACTTAATATTATTTATAAAATACTATTACTCCCAAAAATATTGAAATAGCAATATTTTAAAAAGAGATTTTAAACTATAAATCAAAAAAAAACAATAAAGTTAATGGTTAAGGCAAAATAAATAAATGAATTTCGTTCTTAAAAACATTTTAGTACAGATAATCAGAAAAAATCTAATTGATTTTGCTTTAATGATTGGATTTTCAAGAACAACGATGGAATTTAAAGGTTTAGATAAGCGAACTCATCAATATTCTTGCAAATTAGTTCAATTTGCGATAACTTTGCAAACTCAGATATTAAATCTATGTGGGATCCATATATCTTTCCCCACATTATATTGTAAGAGGAATTTAACAACCTTGCATCTTTTTTTTCACAAACGTTTTGTTTTTCCATAACTTGAAGTGCTTTATAACACACTTAAGATTCTAATTAAGTGATCTCATACGTTTTCTGCTACTAGTTATTTTTTAATAACCAGAAGTGTTACAGCACATACTTAAAAACGTTGCTTTATTGTGTAAAAAAATGCACCATAGAATAAAAAATACACCACAGTAAAAAAATACACAATTCATAAACTTCTGACAGGAGTGAAAAATGCGCCTGAATTTGAAAATGAGGTCCTATTTTGCACCAAAGATAACTTCATCATTATACCTATAAAATTGTTTATTTACAGCTTTCGATTGTAAAAAAATGGAAATGGAATGATATTTATAAACGTCTGACAGGTGTAAAAAATACACCTGAGATTGAAAATTAGGTCATATTTTGCAACAAAAATAACATCATCAGTATACCTCAATTTCAACTTCATTTGTACCTCATATATACCTTAAAATCACCTTATTCTTTTGTAAGGATGTTAAAACTATATTATTTTAATGGGAGTACTTCTTTTCCACTTATATTTATCTGAATAAATTAATTAACACTAATAATGAAAAGTATACATTGGAACCGTGGTGGCTCAGGGAATAGAGCGCTCGCATTCTCATAGGGTGAACTGGGCCAGAATCCCAGCGATGGCTGGTTGATACGAATTCCGAACACGACTCGCACCTACCACAGCGCTGACGTAAAATATCCTCAGTGGAAGACGAAACATGGGTTAGAGTTCCCTTACCGTCAGGCTAACCGTGGGAGGTTCTCGTGGTTTTTCTGTCCATGTTACGCAAATGTGGGTTAGTTCCACCAAAAAGTCCGCCAAGAAGAAAATGAGCTATAATGTAAAAGCAATTAAAATTTCAGTTTCTTTGAAGCTGTTTTTCAATTTTTCAGCGCTTTTATTTTTTATATAAATTGCAGAAATTGAATTATTATAATTTTCAGAAATTGATCGATTTCTATAACCTTTAGGGTGAAATTAGGATATTTTACTACCGCCCAGTGGCTAGTTGCAGCATTTTTAACTTTGACAGCTTCTTTTTTAAAAAAAATATGGCCACTTTTCAAAAATAAAACAAATTTAAGTGATTAAATAATGTACGACGTTAATTATGCAATGCTTTTTTTGTCTTGAAACATTTCTCAAAAGATTTAGATTTCCTTTAAGTTGTTTGGTTCTAAAGGGCTGTTAAGGAATAAACCATAAACAACATTTTAAAGTTCATTTCAAAAATACGAAGAAAATTTTTAAAAAATGTGGGTGAGAAATTTTTTTTTTATTATATTATAAAATAATCTTAAGAGTCCCATATTTATTTCATTTTATTTTATAATTTTTGAACAGCTGCCCCAATTTTGGATTTACTACTACCAACATCCAATTTGGAATAACGACTACCAACCCAATGCCGACGGCAATCGTTTGTTTGCCCAATAAAATTACCAAAGATTTTCATGGCATAATTAATAATGCTATGACACTTAAGCATAGAATATTTTCAACTTAAAAATTCTTAATTTAAATTTTTAATCCATATTTTAATTTAAGCATAGAATATGTAAGAATTTATTGAAATCTGTGATGCAATATCCAACTCAATTTTGTATTGAACAATTTTAAAAATTTTGTGAAAAAAGATTTTTTTTCAACTTAACACCCAATCTAGCTTATATAGTTTAAGTAGCGTATTAAGGCTCCAAACACCTGAAAATCTCTGTAAATTGTATTAAATAATTTTATAATGTATTCTTTCTATATATTTCTGCTCTATTAAGCCTAATTCGAATTCGTCTTAATATTCTCTCTGTGCGATGCTTAAGCTTGATAAACAAAGTAACTTTATTTTGCGAATTAGAGTATGTATTCAAGTTAAATTATTGATTATTTCTTTATACTGTCTCATAAAAATAACTTAACTGATTCGTGTGTGTATCATCAAACTGTAATTACAAATTTTTGCATAACAGAATAACAAACATAGAGGCGACTACTTCAGTCTGAGTAGTGTAAAAGAATATTTTAATTGTTTCACTGCGCCAGGAACTATCCTTGATGTTTGATGTAGTAGACTTTCGTGTTAAGAAGTTGCTACCATTTTCGCTTTTCAGGTATACTGAATGTTTTTTACAGTGAACATAGAATGGTACTGTGACAAAAATTATTGTAATTTTTAGACTTATGTTACCCATGAGTTTAACTCAAAATATCATTAAGTATTTAAAAATGGTAGTTTGCTTACCTGCAATAGCCAAATGCATAATAAAAAAGTTCATTCTTGATTTCCTGTTCTTTGACAATGACAATGCTATTAACACCGCGCTATTTCCAGCAACAATCATGATGAATAGAACCCACAGAAATGTCAGTTGCTCTGTCTGAAAAGAAAAAAAAGAGTTAATTAAATTATGCTTTTATTTTTTATCAAACAATTGGACGTTTAATGAAAATAAAGGAATTCTTAGGCTGTGAAATGGTTTAAAAAACATAAATTAATAGTGTTGTGCAATATATACATATTCCTTTTTTTCAAGTTTACCTGATAACATGTAAAGAAGTGAAGTGGTTGGTAGGAAGTAGTTAAAGCAATTTTTAAAGTATCCTGTAAAAAAAGTGGTATAATATTTTTTTTAAAAATAATATTGACCAACCCAAAAAATTGCGTAAAGGAGCACCTATTTCAAGTTAACACCAAATCGAGTGTTCATTCATAATTTGTTGGAATTTCGTGTATTATATCGTACTGTAAGTATAAAGTTTATCAAAACTGAGTAACAAACATTATGGCGGTTACTTTACTCCAAGTATGGAACCTTCTAGCTGTTTTAATGCACATTTTCTATCTACCACTGAGGTAGATAGGAAAAGCTTACACAAAGCTCACGCGCATTCACACCAGACGTAAATTATTTTTGCTTCCGATATCCCTAATGTTGGCACACTTTGGGTATCGTCAGTTGATTGTTGACGAGTTGGATTAAGTTTGTTATCGTCCTCCAAGCAGTATACATCTACATAATAAAAATTCGGCATTTAATACGTACTAATGATTTCAGTTGCATAATAAGGTTATTTATAGATCAATTTTTAAATCTCTTTAAAGTATAATTTTATATAGTATAATTTTTTGAACGTTAATTTTAAAATTCAAATCCGCTTTTGTTCTTCCAATCCTAATAGGAATTCGCCTTAAATTTTCGCGGAGCAGAGTAAATATTTGATTTACAAGCTAATTTTATTTTCAAATCTAGTGTAGCCATGCATCGTGAATAAGTGATTCTTGCCTGTTATTGTATTGTAAAAATATCTTTGCTGACTCTTACGTGTACCTTAGTCTAAAGTAATTATAAATTCCAATGCTACTGAATACTAAAAAATGATGTCAGCTACTTTACACCAAGAAGAGTTATGAAACATTCTCAGTGTTAAAACTACACTAGGAGCTATAAATTGGTTCTTGGTGTAGTGAAGTGCTGTTAATCTACGCCACTTTCATGTAAAATAGTTGCAACCATGTTTTTGGAAATTTACAATACCATACAAAAAAAAGTTTGCACCGTAGAAATAAAATGGGAGAGATAAGGTTTTAAATAATTGCAATAAAAACAATATGAAAGAACTTCAAGTGCTTATTAACAACTGTTGAAGAAACATTTTGTGTATCAAGTGGTTCTATAAAATTTAAGATGCAGAAATCCTTAGAAAAGCGAAACAAAATGGATGTCAGCTGATTGTTCTGGAAATTAAAAAAACGTAAATGGAATTGTTCACGTTCTACATGAACCTGGAAAAATTTAAAGTACAACAAATTTTCGATCGGAACCCTCAGGGCAATAGAAAAAGAGGAAGACCTAAAAACTCTTGGCACCGGACGAATGTAATTGAAATGAAAATAGGAAAGGCATGGAGAGACTCAAAATATCTATCCACAAATAGGGTGATATAGAAAAGTATGATAGAAGCCTTATTCTCCAATTCCGAGTAAATCGGACGTGAAGAGGAATTTGTATATGCATGCATAAGTTTTTTAAATCGTCCATTAACTTATTAAGACAGCTATATACTTTTTTTCAAATTTACAAGGATATTTAAAAAAAAGCACAAAACACCAAAATCGTATGGAGAAAGATCAGGACTGTAAAGCGGGTGTTTGATTGTCTCTGACTATGGTGAGTAGGATTACTGCATTACGACATTTGAGATGTGGGAACATGTATTATGTTCTTAGACACTTCGCCTCCAATTTATGTCTAAATCATACAGCTTCATTAGGGTGGTTTCAAAACATGCTAAAGTATACACATTAATTGATAAAATCCTTATTCATTTATAATTATTATCTTTTTTTTTTTATCTTTTCGGAGTTAAAAACAAGAATAACAACATATCGGTCTTATTTGCACTATGAAAAATTCCGGATCAAATAATGGTGTAAAGTACCGTCTTTTAACTGTAAAATCCATTATGCCGTAAAATCCATTTTACCGCAAAATGCATTTTACCACAAATAGTTTACCGTAATGTTTATATAATTAGAATCATGCAGCAATTTCATGGTAATTATTACTCTGAAAATTATAGTATATTAGATTTTTTGTTCCGTAACATGTTCTGGTATGAAAGGATTTTACTGCAAAAATTACCAGCACTCTGATTGTCGAAACTTTTTATCGTAATTTGAATCGGATTTTCTACAGTATGGACGCAGCAATGAGCATTTTCCATACACACTTTAGAAATGCATTATTGCGTCACTTTTTCCACGTCAGACATCAAAATTTAAATATTCGAATCGACCAGTCTATTGATTCTTCAAAAACGAGAAAAATTCAAAGTGAAAATCACATTTACGTGCAAAACATCATTATTATTTTTCTACAACTCCTTGTCTTCATTCAATTAGTGTTATTTTCAGTTGTGATTCTGGATTGAAAAAATTCAATTTCGATAGCTATACAATCAGAATCGTATTATTATTTCATTACCAGAAAACTAGACTAGTGTTATATTATTTTCTATGTAAAAATTTAACTTTCGCTTAAAAAGTACAAAATCTCTATCAATAAATAATCAACATTGTTTTTATGTTTATTTTAGTTTAGTAGGTTTAGCAAGTTCTTATTTATTCATAGAGTATCAATTTGCGTTTTTGCAAATAATAAACATGAGGAAAAAATATACTTGAAAACAAAAACATAGCCAATGTTTGCAGAACTTCGTATCTAAAACATTTTATTTACACAACTGCTTTTATACAAATTCTAGGAATCTAGCGGGGCTAAATCTTTGGATGGCGTAGGAGGGTTTTCAGTCAAATGAAATTGAATTTGGGGTATGAGAGTTTAAAGTAGTATATTCTAAATATTTATATTGTAGAGTTATGTATATGGTTGCTTTACAAAAATACATATACTTATAGTTACGAACTTCTTTAACTTTTACAACTTTTAAAAGATAACATTAGTTTTCTCGTTACTTTTGCTTTATGTATTTAAGTAAAAAAGAAGGTTCAATGGAAAATTCGCGGCATGTTATATGCATAATATTTTATTTTTCTAGTTTAAATAATTATCAATATAAATTATGTGCTTATTTAAATATTGTGATATATACATTTATTGAATTACAATTCATAAATATATGAAAGCATAACGCATGTTTTTTTAACAGTTTACAACACAATTTGGTAAGGAAATTAATTGAAAATCTTTTCAGCATTTAATGAATGAATTACGTTAAATAACAATTCAAAATTAGGTCATATCTAATGAAATTAATAAACTATTCAAACTCATCGTATATATGAAACTAAAATGGGACATATACAAATAAAATGAGATTTCTGAATTTAGTAAATAATATACATTTTAAAATATCAAAGTCCATTTTACACTAATTTTAAAAAATATATATTGATTTTAGTAACGATATAGCCAGTTATTATTAGTTTTTTTAATTAACTCCTTCCAAATTAATTTGAGTTTGATCTTTTTAACCTTGGGGTGTGTTAAGTGTGTTAACCTATTTTTCTTTAAAATTAAAGATATATGTTAGGCTTTATAATATATTAAACTGCTTATAAAGTATTTGAATAGATTTGGACATTTATGATCTGTAAAAAATGTATCTTGAAACCGATGTGAGAATATGGTTAAAAAACAAAATTTATCGTAACCCTTTTCTTTCGTTTTATTATTTTTCATGTTTAAGTAAGGGAATATATAGGCCACTACCTCCTATTGTTATACAACTACACAAGTGAAAGAGGTCAAAGACCTTTTTCTTATGTGTGAAAAAACTGAAAGAAATGACTTTTACCACTAGGAGGTCAATAAAAATAAATCCTTGAATGTGTTTGTCTACTAGTTTATAATATAAGAAAAAAGTTTACCCTCAAAATACAGATTAAAAATAACAGCTTTTTAGAGCACTTAGTAAGTTTAAAAATAGTATGGTGTCATAAAGCATAGATTTAAAAAAATATTTTAAATTTAAATCAGAACTTAGAGATTTTTATCGAACTATATAAGTATTCCTGGAAGTAAGTTTTTAAGTTACTTAAGCATAATTTCAAATTACATACTTAACTATTAATAGTTATCTGTTTCCTGACTGTTTTACATTTCTCATAGCTTTTTTTACGTTTGTTACATCCTTATCTAAAAATTTAACTGAAGAAGAAAACAAAGATGGCGTGTTTAGTTTATTTATTCATTTTAATTTTTATAATTTATTTTAAGTCTTTAAAAAATCTTTTGAAAATTATTTTCATATTCATCTTACGAAAATAAATTGCTTAAAAATGCATACTTTAATATGTACATTAATTACAGAACTAATTATAGATTTTTCTTTACAATTATTTTTCTAAAAACAATCACAGAAAAATTAGGGACAGAAGTACCGGCACTCAGGTGCCAGTACGTTTTACCGTAATAGCTATTTTTAACGTGGAGTTTTACGGAAGAAAAAAAATCTGATAAGCCGTCATTTTTATAGTAATATTTACTGAATCACTATAATTCAGTAAACATTCATGTAAAAAATGCAGAGTAAAATTTTATGGAAAAAAATGGATTTTATAGTGAAAAGGCATCCTGAAAAACGGTACTATTTACAGTAATATTTCAGGACCTTTTTTGCAGTGTCAGTCATGCTGATAAATTATTTTCGTTTGAATAAATTTACTAATATGTATTTAACTGTTCAAATATATTGTAGTCCTTCACCAAATTTTAAATATTGATTTAACGAAACATAACAATTGTCAATTTAATGTTGATATAAATATGAACGGATGAAAGTTGAATGCATGTTTCATTGATCAAATATCTTTTGCTTAAGAAAAATATTTTACCGAAAATAGTATAGTATAAAT